ACCTACATTGATACTCCCAAAAAATCAGTGTCTATTAATTTATTATAACGATTATACATTTATTACTACTTAACTAATAAGTGTTCCTCGGGTGTTGAAAAACGTTTTGAGCGCAATATTGATATTATATGGAAAGTTAATTTTATGCGCAATTGGTAAACTGCCTAACGCCTATTTGACAATAGTAACAGTGTGTGTCCCCTATATACAGCAGTATTGTATATCGCTAATGTGGGTCGTATATAGGTTTTCTATTATTTTAAAAGACACACAATTCATAAATTTATATATATAGAAATTCAATGAAAGTGTGACGCGTTTRGACACATTTTTCATGTCTGAAGGTATCATAAAAGCTCAATTKGTATAACTGATCAGGACACCAAAACAATAGGTACCTAAATTATAATTGTTTAGGTATGTACCTGATAATCCCGCTTGGTCGTCATCGTTGTCATCGTCGCCGTCGGTCGATGGTGCAGTGGCGGCGACCTGTTGCTGTTGTCGTTGCGCGACAGCCGGCGCGAACACGTTCATGTAGTCTTTGCCCAAAGACCGTCTGAAATGTTCGTCGATGACTGGGTCGCTGATGCCACCTGTGGTCGTCGTCGCCGCCGCCGAAGACTGTACTCTGTGGCCGGTGGCCGGTGAAGCCATGATCACCGAAGCACGTTCTTTTGGCAGCGCCCTAGAACCAGCCGTCGTCGTCATGTCCAAAGGTTCTTGAGAGTTTCTGAAACTATATATTAAACGTGATATATATCCCGTCGTTATACGTATACTATCCGTGACGTGGATGCAACACTTGCAGATGCATTCGGTGGTGCGCACACTACGAGAATGGTCCCAAACCACCCACCCCTCCTAAAAAATTTCTCCCTTCGCCGAAAATATGCATTTCTCCGAAATGCCCCTTCTTCTTTTTATTAACGATTTAATAGCCCATTTCCTTTTCTACTCCCTTGTGCCGAAGAAAATCCTGTATGCGCGGGTAGTTACTGACCAATATTTTGGTAACCCGGTGGTGATAACATATATGCAAGATTTCTGTGACCTGTAATTCTATAGTGCAGGGATGTCGGGTGTTTTATTTTACTTTTTGTACTATGCTAGAACCCGCAGAGACCCCCAAATTACGGCCGAGGAGAGTTTTATAGTCAGGTCATCCATCAGTGACTTGTTGAATATGGCACTAGGTGTATGTCGGTTCGCGGAAAAATAAAGAGTTGAGTGAATAATCTGCATAACCTATATGCTTTGGTAACGCAATGTCAAGAATTTAATTTTATCTTTTCACTCTTTTAGCTACTATTCACTATATACATTTTATAATTATTTTTATTAACTACATACTTTACATTTTAAGATCTTTGTGACATCATATTATTTACTTGGGTCGCGCTGCGCATATTATCTGCTTTTACATATATTATTTAAATAGTATAAATGTTCAGAGACAGAAAATACCGAGCAAGTTTCGAAATTTTCGTATACAGCTATAATTAGCTTTACGCTGATTTTCGGTTAGGTTAGAAATGTTTATGATTTGTTCAACTATACACAGAATTAGTAGTAAAAAATGTACTCTACATATTTGAACATGTTTTCGAGATAATTATGAATATTTAGCCTATATTTTTCGTAATTCAGAAAAATATATTTCATTATTTTCTTTAAAACTTCACATTTGTCTATTTCTCGAGTTATTCGAGTTTTTTYGTTGAGAAAAAATAGTTTTATATGATAAAAAACAAATATCCAAAATATCTAAACCYTGTTTACAATTACTAAWTTCTATTTCAATTAGTAATGTACCTAGTCAGTTCCTGTAACTTTGGTTGTATTTTCATTTGCGCAGCAGCTTCAGCTATATTACCTCAAACTAATCTAGCCTTATAAATTATATCTGTAAATCTGTAAACATTTATCAATGAWTATAACTCAATTTTATTAATTATTTGAATTATCTTTAACTAAAATGATTTGTAAATTTGTTTCGGTAATATAAATAAATCGAAAAATAATATACAATATATACATTATACATATTATAGATATTACTTGTATTATTACAGCCTACAGAATAAATATATAGGTATCTAATTAAATAATTATTTTCAAGGGATAWAGATGATTTTCAAGTTAAGCGTTTTCATCAATTTTAATGGAATATTGAGAGCATAAGGTTTTAAAAGTCGTATCTGCTGTGCGATAGTGCTTACTATAATATCATATTTTTAACTTTTAGAAACCAATTAGCCAATCTCATTTATATTGCAAACATAAGAACAAAATATATTACGATAGTAGCTAGAAACACTGAAACAAAAAATCCAAGTACCGCATTCATCYCTTTCCCCTACCGCCCGGCCCCATGCCATAATAAAATCGAGGACATATCGAACCTTTCGGCCACCCCGTGGTTACAACCAGAATAGTGGTAGAATACTGTATGAGGTGTTGATATGGTTAGGTGTGAGTGCATAGTAGGTATATATACTTACGGCGGCGGAGTTGGCGAAACGGGTGATGTGCAGACGGCCCTGTGTCTTCTCTCCCTCTTCCATTTCCCGACGGTGCCGACGGTTCCCTCCATCGCCGAACATCTCAGTGACAGCGCCCTCGAATGATCTGAAAAAGACGGAAAAAGATCATTTAGAAAAACGGTACACATTTACACGAAGCTACGGACAAGATCCTGCATGCAGCAGTCGAGTGGCATGCCGCAGTCGCGTTGGGCATCACCATCATAATATTATTATACAAAATGTATGCGTTTTTAATCCAACCGGTTCTGATAATGATAATAATTGTAACATAAAACATAAAACACTGTAATGTGGCGTACCGGTTGTACATATAACAAATGTCTCAAACGCATATTCTAATGATGCGATATACTATTATTATTATATATAGTATATATTATATACCCACTACATCTGTGGGATTCTCGACAAATGCCTAGCGTTCTCGAAATTTCCCCCCGCCACCGCATCATAATAATTTATCGCGTGACATGAGGCGTTTAACACTGCAGGAGGAGTAGTTTCCTACGACGAACGTGATGATGTTACAGCACCTGTGCGACTTCWCATCGTTCACCATCTAACGCAGTCAACGAGTTGTGTCCGATTGATTAAAGTGAGATACCTACACGAGTCGTGTCCCAAATGTTTTATTAAGTTCTGTTATGATAAATTTAAAAGCTGTTTAGACGACGGCAACGTAAAAAAACCCGTCCGGGCTCAACGGCGAAAATACTACAGTGGTGGTTAGGTTATCGACATTATAGTGTTTATATATGGCGACAATTATTTGTATAAAATCCTTTATAATATATATGATTATCGTGTCGAGTAGCTTATACGCCTCTTTTTTTTTTCTCTGCTTTATGCGAGATTAACAACTACGTGCAGGGCACTACCTATATATTTTATATACTAACGCATATATCGACGGATGACACGAGAGTTGTGTGTCCGGTGTTGTATATGTTATAGAGGCGCACACGTAGTCTTCACTACATTATTATTATTATTATGGTTGTATTATTATTTCCGTTTTCCCGTCCTGGCCGACGACGCAGGACAACGGAAGGACCGACGACGACCGTACACACACGCACACTTGGCATACGAACAAAGTGTGYACGTTTCCTGTTCGTGATTAACATTAAATAATATATTACAAAAATATTAGATATTGTTATTATTATTATTATTATACGCCATCGTTTTTCGGACGTGGTGAGTTGTACAGACGCGCGGGATGACTCGCGTGAATCTAAGTATATATTATAAGAAGGACTCGTGTGTTATTATTTTATTCAGAATTATTATAGTAACATTATGTGTATTATGGCCCCCTGGCACTCGCGCAGTCTGTGATAGCCTTATGACGATTTATGTACACAAACCGACAGCCGTCATTAAACCGATCATTGAAAATAAAAACAAATTTATTGATTTTTTTTTTACGTCAGTATAAAATAATTTGCTATAAACAATAGATTTCTCTGAAATCGGATGACCAATTTTATTCGTCGGCCGCTCAGCGCAATTATTATAATACAAGCAACTATCGCAATATATTACATGATTGATAACGTTTATTTAAAACACGAGSATTATAATATACATATAATGATGTATAAGAAAATTATCCGTCCATCAATAATTCGTCGGAATCGTATTATTAAAATACATAAAATAACTAATATTATACCTAAAGAGTAAAGATACCTATGAAAACGTAAAAAAAAAACTTAACCGCACGGCACTCACCACTAAGCCACTTTACAATGAACGAGGAAAATTAAATTGTATATTGATTAATATAATATAAATCGTATATATACCTACAAATTATWTTATAGCTCCACGCATCTAGGGCGTACTTCGGTTTCCATATTAGGTCTAATTTATTTTATTTCAGTTTTCATGATGGTTTACACTAATTAATAGCCGCGTAATTGTTTGTCGTTAAATTTGAACGATTATATTTTTAACATTTCTTTATAGGACTAAATTAAAAGTTATCGATGAGAATTACATCTTCGAGCGAATGAAAGTTMCTTCAACGGTTAATACTTCCATCAAATAATAAAAATTTTATTTGTATTTCGATACACCGTGTGTCCTAAAAAAACTGTTAACACTTTATAACTCGGTCACTTATATTATTCAGTATCATATTTTTAAATTTTGTTGTATCATAAATTCCTATAACTCGCATATTTTCTTAACACTTGTATTTTGTGCATGCGCAACAGCTTAACTTTTCTGTTTGCTCTGTTTTCGTAGACATAAAGTTTGTCATCTATTTCCTAACTACCCACGGCCAATAATAATATTATGTAGAAGAATCAAATCATTGCATATCATGTCATTTGGATATGAATGCATTATTGAACGGTGCGTGTTCAATTAAATATTCAAACGTTATTGTAACAAAATTATATTATCTTATTATCACGCAACATTAGGAGGTCTAATATATTGAAACTCTCATGTGCAACTGAACTGGTTAGGCAGGTACACGCCCAATAGGGTGCGGATAGAGAATTGATTTTTGTTTACAACTGCATCAGAATCCTCCCCTTATTGATGTTTTACCGGTTTAAGCTAACACTGTCTGGTGGCTTCAGTGAAAAAAACAACACATTGAAATATTATTTTAATCGAAATCACGTWCGTATTTGAACACTTTATGTCAATCAAATGTTAGAAATATTATATTTAGTTTAGTAATTATTACAAGTTGTACGGGTATACCAAGGAATGTGCATCGCGTAATATCCGAACACGGCCTGCAACTACGCTTAATTGGATTAGTAAAGACTTAAACRTTTAAGTGTGTAATTACAACAAATTAAAATTTGCATAAATTGAGTTGAAAGCCAACTTGATGCACATTTATTGGAAATGATACTTCCACGTGCAGTGC